CCCGTTAAAATTTTCACATGTACGGTGTGCTTCATTGCAGTTAATTTGTTTGTTTTTGCCTTGCAAACAACACCAAAACTTTCCTTGAGTACCACTATGGCAGCCCAAATATCAGCAGTGGTACCTCCATCACAGTTTAAAAACCATGGATGTAAATTAAAGACTGCTGTTGCTGTTCCCAGAAGCAGTTATTAACAATTATGGTAGTGTTGAGGTTTTTAAGGGCCTTAAGGTAAAAAAATGGTCCCTTTGTACGTTTTTGTATCCCAAAGCCCTCTCTCATCTGCTAATGTAGATTCTCATGGGCCCACAATAAAACCCCCACAATAAAATCAGTGATTTACATAATAGCAACTGCTGAATGTTGCAGAACCTTTTAGCAAGCTTCCAGTTTGGCAAAAAACAACTTAAAAAGTTTGCGCAAGTGTTCACATAGTCTTCCTGGTGATCTTATCTGGTAATCGTGGTCCTTTCTGGTGTAAAGGTTTCAAATATCAGAGTTTGTAACCGCTTCTGCTGGCGTTTCAGATCTCTCAGACTTTCTGTTGGCTCTTTTAAAACTTGAAACGCTTCCATGCTGCTTGCATCGCATTAACCTCCAGTTCCTAAGCTCTTTTCTGTGAGTAGTTCAGAGGAAAGAGTTAAACCGTGGGGGTGTAAGTGTAACACATACTGCCCCTGCAAATCGACTTTAAACAGGGGAAAGAAAGTCAGAACACGGCAAACGGTTTTGATTTATGGGAGCAGAAACACATTTGATATTCATTTCCGCAGCTGCGGCCAGCTAAAAAAACAGCCCGCAAATAGACCCATACTGACAATAGTGCAGTGTAGCCCTCCAGTGTGTTTGTGTGTCTCTCCGAGCCTGCGTGCGTCACTCCTATTTTAGGAATGTTTTGGGGCTCTTTCAGTCGATTTCGCCGCAGATGTTTCTGATTCGCCAAACACACATAATAAGTAATTATTGAAAACACCTTTCTGTTGCCCGGGGTTTGTGTGCTGCTTCGTTTTGTGTAATCGAAGCTGCGGTTTCTCAAAGAGGCACAGGATCCAAGAGTTTATTGAAAGCCAAGAAAATGATCCCACAGTCAGAGTTTCCTCAGAGAAGAAGAGAGAAAAGGGAGCTTAAAGAAAATATTCCCCATCCCACCTCAGTGAAAAGACGCAAAGTGGGAGAAGAGGGAAGGGATAGCAGCCATTTTATCCAATCAGATGGGAAGAAATGAAGAGATTAGCTTGTCAAACCATTTTGAAGGGAGCATTTGCTGTGAAAAAAATACGCTGCAGAATCACAAAAACTTACCAAGTATTTCTACAAATATCCTGGTATACTTGAAATAAAACAACATTTTCACCTATAAGAGCTTGTTTTGAGTAAATAATTCCTTAACATTGGTGAGAAAGTGCTACTTTCATTGGCAGATGATTTGACTTATAACAAAACGTTTTTCCTGTGTTTAAAGTGAAATGATCTGCCAATGGAACCAGTAGCTTTTCATCAAAATTAAGGAATTATTGACCATCTTGCTGAAAAGTTACTTATAAGTTAATTTTCATCTTATTTCATGTGTACGAAGATATTTCCATTAGAAACTAGACCTAAAGTACTTGGTAAGATTTTGTGTTTTTGCCCCTTTTTTGTTTTGACTTTCTATGTCACACTTAAATGTGCCAGATCATCAAACAGATGTTGGTATCAGACAAAATTAACCTCAGTAAACGCATAATTCAGTTTTCAGATGATGATTTTGTCTAATAGAAGAAATAAAAACCCCACCTAGGCTCAGTTAATTTTTATTAGTAACAACCAGATCTGATTACTCTCAGTCCTGTATAATCAAATCACTTTAAATAGAATCTGTTGGCTGAAATATTTAACAAACCAACACATGGAGCTTCAGGACATCTGGTTGGAAAAGGAAACGCAAAACAATCCATACATGTGAATCTTTGCATTTATTTGCTAAGACTGGTTGTTTGTTTGTTCATGCAATTGCTTTTGTTTGTTTATATTCTTACCAATTGCTAAATACAGTTTTTTAGGAGAAAAAAGAGAGAACGAGAACAGGAAGTGGAACTTCTGAATAAACAGTTTTCATTCACTTCAAAATAAGAGCATGAATATAAATGTCAACTTAGATGTCAAACCTTTTTATCTGAAAGTCTGCAAAACAGGCAAATAAACTGTTGCTTTTATTTAATAAACATTAATAAAACATTAGCAAAAGTTAGCAAAACACTAAAGCGCTACATAAAAGATTAGCTCCCCTAATTTAGGGGTTTGAATGTGTATGTGAATGGCAAACAGACAGGAGACTGCTCCAAAAGCAGGAAGTGGACTGCAATGCAGGGCATTCTGNGTAAAAACAACCAAAAAAAAACCGCTTCAGCTCAGCGCTAGCTAGAGAAATGGCTTGTGGTATTTCACCAAAGAAATCCTACAACCTTGAAAATCTGACGCCACTCCGTTTTGTTTATATTTCGTGAAGAAGGAAGTTGCGCTCATGTCTTCTTCTGAGGTTTTTGTGTTGTTTACTTAAGTAGTTCTTGGTGCAGTGCCGCCACAGGTGAGGAGGGGAACAGACTGTTCAATTAGTTTGGATAGTTTGACAAAGTGCAGTGTGAAAGCAAAGTGAACCGGAAAATGTAACAAATGTTGCAATTTTGGTCCCCAGTCGGACAAAGTGGAGACAGAAATCTGTATTTTTTCAAAGTAAAGTGAAGTAAAGGAAACATTTTGCCGACACATCTCCATCTTCCAGTGTCTTAAGTGTTGCATTTTCACAAGCTAGCATGTCTACAAATTGGTGTATGTGATTCTGTGTGGGCGTCTGACGGCCCGTTGTGTGTGTGGGTGTTTCAGTTCAACGTGTGCATGTCGAAAACGGGACTGACGAGAGAAAAGGAGGGAGAGAAAGAGAGATCGGAGACGGGATGGGGGATGACAGGCTGGATCTGATTACGGGTTGGAATGGCTGGGAGGGTTTGTGGTACACTGCTTTCTCAATAGTACATTCCTGTGTGCAAGCCGAGGCAGGATCTGCAACTTCAGGCCGGCCTCTGCCAGAGGGTTAGAAAAAAACAAAAAAGAAAAATGCCTCGTCAGAACAAGCAGCTCAGATTTACTGGGCCCTTGCTAGATAGCAGGATAGAAGATGAGTCACTCACATCCTGCGTTGGCCTCTGTGACACCGGAGCAGCGTTTTAACGGGCCTCCTGTGTTACACGAGCGCAGCCGTTATTTTCTGCAGCTCCCAGGCCTGAGGTTGGCGCGGCGGCGTTATTGTTGCTCTGTGTCAGATTTACATGCCCTCAGAAGCTGCCGACACTGAAAGGAGTGACCTTTAAAGAAGGAAGCTAAGTTTTTTCAGAGGCGAACGGGTTCTCATCTGTGTGTGTGTGTGCCAGCAGGAAACGTCAGACAACTGCACAAACCAGCGCTTTCAAAAGTCAGACAGATGTATGCCAGCATGACTCCTCTGCTCCGGAAAATTCACAGACTCACCTGCTCGTCTGGGGGAAATGCGAAATGTCACCACCAGGTGCTCGGAGTTGCTTTACAAATTAGACCTTTAAGCGTCGACTGGCTGCGTTGCGAAACATCGGTTTTTCCATTTGAGCCATCTGTTTCTTGGGTTAAAAGTCTGACTGGTTGTTTGTACTTGCCAGATTGTTTGCCTCCTTTCCCACCAGATTTGCAGATTTCTCTCTCCTTCTTTTACATGCGTTAAGCACATGTGTCAAACTCGAGACCTGAGGGCCAAATCCGGCCGGCCGCAGCTTTTTATGTGGCCCTCTAGACGTTTGGTGGCCAATATGGAGTTAGAAGTTTATCACAATATTTAGTACTGTTGTGATAACGATAAAAAAATGACAAAAAGTATGTATCGCTTTTTTTTCGGTAACTGCATCCCAAAACATTCCTATTTTTAAATATACTCATATTTATTGTTGCTGTTGTTGAAAAAACAGCGGAGAAAATAATAAAAATGTATATATATTTTTTTACATTAACTGAAATTTATTGTGACAAAAAGAAGTAAAAATTCGTAAAAGAAAATTTTCACGATAAATAATAAATGATACGGAAATTGCCTCACTTGATATTCATTTGTAGTTCGTGATCGATGTGGCGAGTAACAAAAAGTCACAGTTACTGCCATGCATAAGTGGGAATATTTGCAAAATGTCTTGCAAATATTTCAAAATTAGCACCACAAATTATGTGATTTAGATTACAAAAAGATCAATGAGAAAAGAGACAAGACACAATAGAAAAATAAAATAAATGAAATTACAAGAATAAAGTCGTAAAATTGTGAGAATAAAGTCAAAATAATACAAGAACAAAGTCTTAATATAATATGAAATATTTTGAAAATTAAGTCGTACAAGTAAATAAATCTAGATATTATGAGAATAAAGTTATAGTATCATGAGAATAGTCCTAATATTTTCTGAATGGAGTTGTACAACAAAATAAGTAATAATATTATGAGAATAAAGTAAAAAACAATCCAAGAATAAAGTCATAATATTACAAAAATAAACTCAAACAAGAGTAAAGTTGAAAGAATACAAGATTAACAAAATGAGAATAAAATCAATATTTAAATAAAAGTCATAACAAAAAGAGAATAAAGTCACAATAATATGACTATTCGCATAACGACTGTTCTTGTAATATGACTTTATTCTCATAATTTTTTTATTTTTATTTTTTTACTACGGCCTTAATACCTCAATATTGTTTAATTTTCAAAAGTGCTTATTTAATTCACTTCTGTAAGTTTAATCAACACATTTTGGCCAAAGTGACCTTAAAAAACATTCATGATCTTAATGTGGCCCAAAATGAAAATGAGTTTGGCATCCTCTGCAACATAGCTCCTGCTTTAAGTTCAGCCTTTTAACATGAATCAGAGCATGAAGCAGTGTTTTCCAAACTGCAGGCCGATAAGGAGGCCTTCCTCCCCCATACCAGCGCCGGTCTCCTCCCCATGCCGTGCCAGGCAGCGAATGCTTGTGTGCATCAGGCACCTGGAGGTTAAGGGTCTCATTCAGGCCTTTGTTCCTTTATTTTACTCCTGCCACTGTCGCTGCTGATGGTAAACAGCTCCAAAAGGCTTCTCCTCCTCCTTGACCTGCAGTTTGATTTACAACTCCAAGGAAAACAACGTTAACTTGTCTGCACGCCCTGCCCACCTCTCCCTCTTTGTTCGTAGGTTGTTTACTATTCTCCGTATGGAAAATCATTCAGGAATGTCGAGGAAGTGGGTGTTTCCTCCAGCAGCCTGATTCTTTTTTCTCTTTTTAATGAGGTTGGATGGAAGGGAACAAGAGATGCAGAGTCAGATTACCTGAGCTGGTGAGGCTCTTTTTAATTATTTTACACTCAGCATCATTTGAAAGGTTTTTGTGTAAAAAGTTGAGCCTCATTCCGGCGACAGAACTGAAGCAAGATGAAACCACTGATACCAGCTTATGTATTTCTGCTCTATCCAGTGACACCAGCCGTTTAGATCTACTTTAATTTTTTTTACAGTACTTTTAAAGTTAAAGTATCTAAGGAATAATAATCAGAGTTTTCAGAAGTCGATTTTAAAGCTGTGTTAGCTTCGCTAACAGCAGCGGTAGCTAATCTGCCACAGATGTGTTAGCTTAGCTAATAGCAGCGGTAGCTAATCTGCCACAGCGATCACTTATTAATAATCGCAAAATAAACATGTCCTGTTCTTTGTGTCGGAAATGTTAGAGTGTTTTTTTGGTGTTGAATCTTGAAACATTTTGTGGCGTTTTTTTTGTCAGTTGCTATGGCAACGAGTCTGCGTGTAGCTTGGCTGAGACAGAAAGCGAGGGGAAAAAAGCGGTTGAGTTGTTTTCAACGGTTTTATGCTGTGGCGCTCTGCTCTAAATTATTAATACCTCCATCTCCAAGTTTCATTTAGTTAACGGAGTTGTTTTACCGCGGCATGTAAAAGAATCGTCTTTTTGCCCTCCAGCGTCGTGCGCATGTGCTAAATTTCCGGATGTAAACAATAACATGCAGGGGGTGTTTTTTTGACACAGGCATGTAAAAACAAAATGACCCACAACAGACAGGATCGTTTTGTACCCAAGTTTTTTTACTAGTATGTGAAGACATGAAATGGCGATAAGGCAAATCGACCAGAAATCAGTAAAAACTGTACGATTTGTTTTCCTAGCTTATGACGTCTCCAGGCACATGTTTAAGTTTTAACCTGTGTTCATGTTTGTTTACTTCCAACTTTTATACCCAGAAGAGAAAAACACATAACATCATAATACAGTTAATTCATGGGTTTCTCTCAGTACGCCGGTATTTTGAACAGGGTTCACAACCTTTCTCGTGCGTGGACGGCATTATTGTGTCGACTCCCGTCTACTGTCATTCCTCCAAACTCAGCAAGGCCCCGTGGAAAGGCTCTGAATCATTTGTGCTAATGAAGGCTTTAGATTTCCATCCAGCTTTCGTTCTGACTGGTGCTGCGTCTGTCTTGACCACTTAAGAGCCTCAGCTGCCCACAAAAATGCCTACAGGGGGATGCCTGCTCCAGACTCCATGTGCTGATGTGTTTATGGGAGTTTGAGGGGCTTGAAAAGAACTCTGTGGACCTCGTCTCCTTTAGTTAACGTGTAGGTATGCAGTATGTGACGGAACCTGGCCTAAAAATAGATTTACTATTGAAGGACTCCCAGGAACATTCAGTCGTACAGCCATGGCAGGGAGATTGTTTTAGTATCAGGAAGCAATAAAGATAATAGGATCATTATCAGGCTCTAAAATTAATTTAATCTAACCTCAAATTACAGAACCAAAGAACAGGTTTGATATTATTTATTGAACAAAGAAGAAGCCAACTACGAAACATGCAAGCAGAACGGCTGTGATTTAGCAGCTTGTTGAACATCTTTAGCAGCACTGGCTCTCCGTAGTCGTTTTCCTACATCGTTGTATTGGACTACTCCTCTTTTGAGCACTGTGTGCATTGATACTGAAATATTGATTCTTCTGATACCAGATCTTTATGCTATAAGATCAATTCTCAAATCCAAGTACCAATGCTTTCAATACTTAAGTGATTTGAGATAACATGTCATTAAAAAGTAACTAAATTATCAAAGTACTTCTGAGTTTAAAATAAATACAATAGACTGATGTGTTCTTTTTATGTAGCCAAGATTTGAATTACAGCAATTTTCTTTAGGTTTTAAAAGGGAAATTAAGTGTTTTTGCACAAAGTATCAGTATCAGCTTCAATTTTACTCAGTATGGGATCAGAAGGAAAATCTGTGGCATCGACCATCACTAGTTCATAGACGTTAGCAGGGATTAATTGAGTTGTCTCTGTTTGTCTGCTCTGTTTGGGATCATTGGGCTGCTGATGACCCAGAACTTTAGCTGTTCAGATGACGCTAGAGTACGTTGGTAGTGAGAAGAGCTCAGTGAGTGGTAGGTGCCCAAGTCATTTTATAGGCGCTTCTTTTCCATCTCCCTCTGTAGCTAAAAATAACACTTTACAACTTAGCTAAGTTAAAGCAGGCGTCTATTGCTTCTAAAAACAGCCAAAGTGCTTAAAAATAAGAAAAAACAACACCCAGTTGGTGTTTGGTAGTACGTTCAGGCTGTTTGGTGTCTGGAAAACGAGCCGTTTCAAAAACCTCTAGAATGTAACGTCACAAAACAGCAGGCACCGCTTGTTACCTAGAAACCTCAGCAATCTTAGCCCATTACCTAGCAACCCAAGCTAAGCCCCAGCATGTTTAGTGAGTTGGTTTTACTGCTGAATGCTCTGTATAATGGCTGCTGGAAAAGACAAGTGTTTTGTTGTTGACTTACCATCCAGAAACCACTTGCTGAATTCTTGGTGATTGTGCAGGAGGCTCCACTTCTGCTGTTCAAAAATGCATGAGATTTGACTTCAAACCTACTTTCCTGTCATTTCATTTTAAAATAAAGGCCAGTAGAGCCAAGCAAATCTTTAAAAGAAAAAAATATATATCTGACTTAAAATTGGGCCTCTTTCTCTTTAAGAAGCTCCTGCGCTTTCCGACATTCAGCTTTCAGCACGTCAACACAACATGGTTCCTCCATTTAGCCTTCAGTAATGCTTTTACCGGCGTTTCACTGAGAAGTAGTTCCTATGATAAATTCAGCAGATCCGCAGTTCCACCAGTTGTTTGCTAAGTGCTGCTGCCGCTAGTCTGAGGGGCGGACGAGGAGCTACGTGGGAAAGGATTTCTCAAATAGGCATGAACAAATCAAAACAATACAAAAATAACTTGATAATATGATATAAAGCTCACAAAAGTCAACCTTGCATAATACCCCCCTTTATAGTTCAAGAGGTTTAGCGGTTCGTTTACCCAAACGCCCTCAAGTCCACTGAGCTCACAGGTAACAATTACAGCCACCACCCAATTAAATGACACATGTACGCATGCACACACACACACACACACACACGCACATGCCAACATCTAAGCTCCTTTGTCCTGACCCTGACCCCACTATCCACTGTATCTCTTCAGGCTCCTCCTCAAGAGTCCCTCAGATAAGATTACAGGCCTGGCTGATAACATGAAACACTTTGGATTGATTCTGGAGCAGGCCGCTCAGGTTTGTGTGTCGGTGCGAGGTGGTGGGTTGGAAAGTTCACCACCCCAACACACACTCTCCAATTCAGCTTGACTGGCTGTGACACACCACCATACACTCATCTCCCTGTTTGTGTTTTAGTCTAGATTACAGGCTGTATTGTTTTCCTCATCTGCCAAAGCCAATTTGCAGTCGTGTACGCGGTTATAGCCGAGTGTTTAACCCTATCATCTGTTGGGTCACAGCCTGTTCATCCGTGACATACACACAATTCTGTCCCGGCAATTCGGCCGGCCAATTATGGGGGTTTTATTATTCCAAAACAAACCTAAACTCACAATTATACCTTCTCAGTCTTTAATAGCGAGGCTGGGATTCACATTTCAAGATGATGTCATTCATATCAGACTTTCCTCTCCAGGTTTTTGTTTCACTTCACGTGTTGCTGTGGTTATGTACAGCTGTCTGTTTTTACAAGCAAGTTGGAGTTATGTTTTTTAACCAGAAGCATAACTGGCTCCAGTTAACAGCCACAAACCGTCGAAGGAAGTGATTTCTTCTTGCCTAAAGGGTATTTTTAACCAAGTATCCCGTAAACACTGGTAATAAAATAGAATCACTATTTTGAAGATGTTAATTTATTTTTGGCCTAAAAATATCAAAACCTGTAGTTGATTTTTGGTGCATTTCTCTTACCAGAATTATAATTCTCATAGCTGTTGATTCAACCTCAACACCATAGCAGCAATTTTATTCCTTACAAGTTTTAAATGCTTTTAGACTTGCATCAATTGCTTCAATAGAGTTATCTGCTGTTTCATGATCCTATTATTTCATGCTAGCCAAATCAAACTACACTTCTGAATATTGTGTTGTCATTTCCTATAGACCCATTGGATGTTATTGTTTAAATCTGGAAAATTTGTGCATGCGCACAACAACGGAGGGCAAAAAGACAATCCTTACATGCCACCGATGCCATGTAAAAGAAGTGTTTGAACAATCCCATCAACAAAATGAAACCTGGATGGAGGTGTTGGTATTAGTTTAGTGAAGTGCGCTGCAGCAAAGGAAAACATAATGCAGAAAAATCTCTGAAGAACAACTCAAAACCACCATTCTTTTTTCTCGCTCTCTGAGTCGGCTACGCTACATGCAGACTCATTGCCATAGCAACTGAGAACAACGCCACTAACGTATCAGGATTCAACACCAAAAAAAAAACACTCAAACATTTCCCGAGCAAAGAACCAAACATTCAGTCTGTTACAGTCTTATGTTTTTAGGCTTATTGTTTATTTTGCAATTATTCATAAGTGATAAATAGATTAGCTACTGCTGCTATTAGCTAATCTAACACAGTGGTGGTAGATTAGCTACCGCTGCTATTAGCTAATCTAACACAGTGGTGGTAGATTAGCTAAAGACCTGCTCTACTGATAATCTGTGAGAGTTGGTGTGGAGGTAATCTTTTTTTAATTATTTGATCTGAACCTAAACACTCCAAATTCCACAGCACATGTACTGCTTACAGTTGTCAAAGTCAAGCTAGCATAGCTGAATTACTTTCCCTCTCCTTTGCTAATGAAAGTAGTTCATTAATGAGGGAGAAAAAGTTTAATTAAAGAAACAGAAACAGAAAAGGTTTTCTTAATTAAAACTTTTTTCTGACCTTGTTACTTAGTTGTAGCATTGACAATAAGTAACAAAGCACTGTGTTTCTTTTATATATCAGGCGTACATTAAGATTTAGTGCGCTAAAAACATGATAAATCCATTTTATTAAATTGTCAAACTATTATGTCAGGACTTTTCATTTTGATGAAACTGACACTTTGACAAAGTAGTATTAACAAAGTTGCTAACTTTCTGATGTTTCAGAAAATCATCATCCTTTCAAAATCAATGAAATGAGTATCCCCTTATTTCAAAGTTTAGTACAAATTAAATGTGATATTTTCTGTTTTAAAGAGAATTTAAGAGCAGCCAGCAGAAGCTGCAACTACCTTCATAAGTAAGATGCATACTTAGCCACTCTTACGCTGAGTGCTAACAGATGAGCCACATACCGGTGTGACAGGCCTGCTTCCATAAAGTGAAGCAGTTCTGTGATCTCCTGCTGCAGACGGGTGGGATTCTTGTACAACATCTTTTTCTGCAGGAGTGCTGACAGACAGGCAGATTGGAAGATGGGGGGTCAGATTCCTCAGACACAATCACACAACTGAGATTGTATCAGAACCCTCAAAGATGCCTGATCCACACGCCAATTAGACCCGATCTCTCATCGTTTTAAATGTGGGCCATCAATAAAGTTCATTCAAAACACTACTGTTCTGGTGTAAAAGCTGGCCTATTAGGCTGACTTGAACAGATTAGGATAGGTGTATGGAGATTTTTTTCACAAAATCATTCCTGGATAATGAGATTTCAGTTTGCTGGGTTCGGCCTATGAGCTGTTTTAGGGCCTCTTGTTACTTCAAGTCCAAATAAGCTGCTCCTAGCCACGCCCTCTACTCAACGTTTACTGTTGCAAGTGAAAATGGCTGCAAATGGATGTGCAAATATACAACTGTACTTCTTTGAAAAGCAGAAGTGGAGCCTTCTGCACAACCAACAAGAATGCAGCAAGTGGTTTCGGGATGTTAAGTCAACAACAAAACACTTGTTTCTTCCAGCAGCCATTGTACAGCTCATACAGTGATAAAATCAAGGAAGTTATGGACAACCCTTACCATGAGTCTCTTTCTGAGACTGTCTTGGGATATTGGTGCCTTCAGTCAGAGGCTTTTTCAGGTTCGCTGTAATACAGACCGGTACAAGAGATAATTTCTGCCAACAGCCTTCTACAATAACTCTACCATCTACAGTAACTCTTTGAAGAATCTGAATTAATATGAGCTACAACAACATTAAATTCCCTTTGGGATCAATAAAGTATTTTTGAATTTGAAAACCAGCTGAGCAAATGTGCTGCAGTTTAGCTCCGGTTGCTAGGTAACGGGCGGAACTCAGCTCCGGTTGCTAGGAACTCGGCTCCGGTTGCTAGGTAACGGGCGGAACTCTGCTGGAGTTGCTAGGGAGTGAACAGTGCCTGCTGATATATGGAGTTACATCCCTTAGGTTTTTGAAAAGACAAATTTTCCAGACACTAAAAAACAATTTGTTGTCAAGAAACATCTGGGTGTTTTTTAAGCACTTGGGCTGTTTTTAGAAAACCGAAATGGAAGTACAAAATATGAATTTTGAATAATACGTCCCTTTTAAGACCTGTGTATAAAATGTTGTAACACAGCCAGTTTGACCTCTGATCTCCTCCGAAATGTCCCACGATACAGTGGAGGTTCCAGGGGAAGTGCAGTTCAGGTTCATTGTGTTTCCAGCATGCCACTTCCACAATGGCATGAAAGACGCCTTGCAGTGTGAAATGCACGAAAGAGGAAACCGTAGCAGCTGGAGAACACTAAGCAATGCCGATTTCTACCGCAAAGACAAAAAATAGTTTACTTTTGTTTTGCTGCGTTACAACAATAACAACAAGCGTTTGTCACAATGGTTTTCCTCTGTTCCAGATCTGTCATATTCACAGAGAGCGAGTGTTGGGACTGGTTTTTAACAAACCATTCACAGCGGGCCCTCGCTTTCTGCTTACGTCACAATGACTCAGGCTCTTCCGGCTATTTGTTGGAATACCGACTGGATCAATGAGAAGCAAAGAGAGGAAGCTGGAAAACAAGACTGAACGGATATTTTTCTATCCCAAAGCTATAAATGACCCGATTACATGTTTATGCATTTGTATTTTTATGTTTTCTACTGGCAAACTTTTCTTCTTCAATAGAAATCTATATCTCGACACCAGAAAAGGAAACGTAATTAAGACCCTCATACTTGTAATAATAGCATTAAAACATGTTACAGAAACCGTCTTATAAGATTTCTAGGGTCAGAGGTTGACTGGAAGTGATTAATGTTGTTTTTTTTGGAAAAACACAAAATTTTACCAAGTATTTTTAGTCTAGTTTCTAAAATTTCTTCATACACGTGAAATAAGACAAACTAACTTATACTGGAAGAAATAGGAGCTTTTTAAGTAAATAATTCCTTAATATTGATGAAAAATAAGTTTTAAGTGAAATAATCTGCCAGTAGAACAAGACTGTTTTCCCGTATTCTAAATTAAAATTTCTTCCTTCACTGGCAGATTATTTCACTTATAACTAGCACTTTTCCATCAATATTAAGGAATTACTGACTCAAAACAAGCTCTCACATGTGCTGCAAAAGTTATTTGAAAGTCAGTTTTGTGTTTTTTAAAATATACTAAGATATTTGCACTAGAATACTTGGTAAGATTTTGTGTTTTTGCAGAGGACTGAGGCTCTAAACTAAATTTTCCATGACAATAAAGAGTACAAAATGCTAAAATAAATGTGTTTATGACAATTAATAGACATTTCATATGTAGGGTATTTCTCCTTTTATGAATGAAAGCCAGACAAAGCTTATGACCTTAATAGTTTTAACTGAACCTGATGCATAAAATAAAAAGATAGAAGTTGGTTCTGCTAAAAAAAAAAAAAAAAGCAAGACAAAGTTCAAATCTGAGCTTTAAAAGGTCGTAGAAAGCTGACGGCTGCTTTTGAGGTTTGATTGATTAAGGCAAATAAGAGCACAGGGTGTTTTTATGGCTGAGTCATCCTCCATCCGCTAGCCGCAGGCCTGCTCACGTCTCCCACCATAACCAGTAAAGTCAGCTTTGCTCCCATCATGTGACGGTTCTGCACACACACACACACACACACACACACACACACACACACACACACACACACACACACACACACACACACAATAAAAGTGTGGGTAAACCAGAGGTGAGAGGGAAGCTGGAAGCAGACTGTGGACATTGAAGTCTTAGATGTGGTGAGCTGGACGTTGCAGAGCTGCTTGTTTACATGTTTGTGGGCTGACTTACAGCGAGAGCAAGCTGTCAAGCTGAGCAAAACATTTAACAGGCAAGAAAGCACGACTACACGGAGATCCTGTGTAAAAAAACACAACAGAATGAGTCAGTTAACCTCTTCCAAGCTAGAAAATGTAGCATTGTCTTCAGAAGTAAAGAACAAAAGACTCCCTGAGTCGAGTCTGTTTAGATTTTTAACATTAAAGTTAAATATAAAATTAAATCCATTCGTCACAAGCATAAATCTGATTAATTTGGGGCTTTTAATGGATTCTTGGAACAGTTTTTTTCCAAGGGGGGATGATTCAGTTATTTTTACATGACATTAAAAACAATAATTGGGTTTCCTTTAGCAAGTTTCACCTCATCCACACACTTTGTGCAGCCTTCCACAAACTTCTGCCGTAACTGTGGCTAACTATTTGAATACTCCCCTTGTTGGAATTGGTAGCGTTTATTTGGATTGGTGTTTTTCCTGGCGCAGACCGGACTTTTAATCATAGTTCATACATTTTCCTTTAGGTTAAAATAAGACTTTGAGGAGGCCATTACAGAAGCTTAATGTTAGCCTGTTTTATCCCATCTGAATGTGTTTTTGTATAATTGTCCTGTTGTGTTTAACTGAACCCAAATCTGACCATCAAACTTGTAGGAAGCAACGTAAAATCGGCTAATATGCTAATAGCACTTTTGCTAACTCTGAAAACGTTTAGCGCTCATAGCTTCCACTAGGAGCGCTAAAGAACTAATTTTCTTGGTTGTTTAACTTTCAGTTGAATAAAGTTCAGTGTTGAAGTTTTATTTAAATCAAATTCTTCAAGTAGTAAATGAGAACAAGGTATAAACATAAATAGAATATCTAATGCACATGAGTCAAACTCGAGGCTCCGGGGCCGAATCTGGCCCGCCATAGCTGTTTATGTGGCCCTCTAAACTCTAAGAGACACATAACTAGAACCGTCAAGATAACATTATTGTTTTATCAATCCATTCAATGTAGTTTTGATCTCTTTACTGCCAAATTACATCAATTAGTCCCTCTAGTTTCTTGTGAATTATTGTTTAAATTCACGCAAAAATCAACAAATCCCTGCACTTTTTCACACAAAAGCATAATTTAAGTTTATAGCAGATTTTTTGCAAAAATGGTGAAAAACTTTGTATCCAAGTGAAGGTTTGCTTCCACCTGTAGGTGGCAGTATTTCTTATTTCTACTAAATATTATAATCCATAATGACACGGCTAAAACAACCACAAAATCCTGGAGGGGCTGAAAAAATGTTCAACATGATTTAATTTTAAGAAGTTATTTATATTTTAACAGTTTTTCATCAACAGATTTTGGCACAACTGGCCCTTTAAGAACATCCATGATCTTGATTTGACCCAAACGGAAAATAACATTGACATCCCTGACCTAATTACAGAATAACATTATAGCTCATGTAAATTAAGTCAAAATTAATTACGATATATTCTGATTGGACATTAGTGCTTTAGCTTTAGCTTCTGTTATGTTGGCGTAACTGATGCGTGTAAGTGTTTTAGTACTTTTCCAGCAGTTTGGTGCTTCCTGGGCTATTCCTAAACATCCTCACTTATTTTCTGTTCATCTGAGTGGAAAAACCTTCACTCTTCTTTCAGGAGTTGACAAATCTGTGCAACACCTGAAAAACCTCTGGCTCCAAAAGACTTTCCCTGCTCGCGTAAATCTACAATTTTCCTACTTACCGTAAATCTCCTTGGGTTTTCTCCATTGTTCTGAGTGAAAAAACAAATTCCTCCCTAGATTGCTGTTGAGGGACGCAGCAGCTGCAGTCAATCATGATCACTAACCAGACGTTAACAGGCCTGACCCGTGTCAAATTAAAACACCTTTTAAACCCTTCAGTGACACTTTCTGACTCAGGTGAATGCAGGTATTTGCAGACAGTTTGCAACATTTTGACTCTGAGAGGATCAGAGACTTTAAACGACTCAAATGAATGCCTAAAAGTGAGAACATCCAAACTTCCTTCTGCACTTTTAAGCTTTTCTTAATGTCTTTTAGGAACAACTGAAAACCAAAAGCGTTGGAATGATTCACATGTTTATCTTCTTGCAGTAACCAATCGTTTAAGGTCTGAAGTAACTCAGTCGACCTGCTGTTTCTCTCCGTGCGACGGGTCCCAGCGGTTATAAACCGAGAACTGATGATTGATGGGCGAGGAGGAGTGAGCTCCGCATCAGCTTCAAGTGAACCCTGAGGCAGAATGCCGACGCGCACACACACACACACACACACACACACACGTACAGCAGGCGCTCGCGAATTTACAGCCCTGGTCCTGCAGGCATGACTTACTTGCTGTCTGCCCTAAGACGTAGCCAGTCACCCTGAAAATAATGAGTCTTGGAGTGGCAGTCAATCACCGGAGCTCAAAAAAGTCCAAAAGGCTTCAAATTTACGAGGGGACTCATATTGTCTGGGGTTCCCACAGAAAGTAACCACTTAAAGCTCCAGGGAGGTTTTGGTTAAGGTTACTCAGATAAAACTAAGAAATTTGTACTGATTTACTGTTTTACTTCGCAGTCCTCCTTCCCACCAAGAAAAAAAAGAAATGCTAGTCACATGATCTAAAATAAACTTGCTCAGATTGCCTAATTAAACAAGAACAAATCCAGTCACGTATTGATTGTTCGTGCCTGGAGCAGGCCAGGTCTCGTCTGGCCTCGCTCATGCTGGAGTGGGTTAGTCGTTCAGGTCTTCCTTAGTGGCTCAGATTTCCTGCCGTATACACAAACAGCTTTTGGAGACTGAATTCGTGTTGAAAAACGCCGCAGATTTTTTGTGTGTGTGCATGTGGGGAGTCACTTTGCCAGTGGTGACAGGATCCGTCAGAGGTTTCCAAACCCAGCACCAGATACCATCAGCAAACGTTGGGCCCAGTCTTGAACGGGGAAACCAGCTCTGGAAAAGAACCCCTTGAGCTTTTTCACATTTTTCACAACTACCAGTTGAACTGAAAGGATGGTTGGATTTGAAAGTTTAGCTGATGTGATTTCACTGAGTCGGTCTCTTGAAAAAGAACCTTTTGCTACAACTGCAGCTACTAATATTTGATGATTCTCTTTCTCTTTTTTTATTTTTATTTTTGAGAAAAACAGCTCAGCCTTAGTCAGATTAGTCATCTATGATTCTTTTCTGATTCTCATTTGGATTCACATCCAGACTTTGACTCAGTCTCCTAACTCATGTAGAGTTTGAGACGTTCCACTTTTCACAGTTCACTGTTCTTGGATTCTGATTTTTTTCATAAGGCATATCTAAAATATTTGAAAGAAAATGCAGCTTTGGGAACTGCAATATTACTTTACATGCTGGCATTTTCAAGAACAGGGCATTCATTTTCCTTGGTGATGATTGGCTGTACCCACAGGAGCTGAGAAGAGGAAATCTACGGATGTTAGCTTTTGCGGTAGCGCTAATATGGTTTCCACTGTTTGTATTAATGGTTAACCTATTAATGGATAGGTCTATATAAAACATGTTCATTACATTTTTAGCATAAAATCATTCTTAGTCTGCTCAATTAAACCAATGAGCTGTTTTAGAGCCTCTTGTCACTTTAAATCCAAATAAGCAGCTGCTGGCCACGCCCCCCAATGGCTGCAAACAAATGCACGATTATACAACCATACATCTTTAAAAAGCAGAAGTGGCGCCTCCTGCACAACCAACAAGAATGCAGCAAGTGGTTTCTGGGTGGCAAGTGTACAACATAACACTTATCTCTTCCAGCAGCCATTGTACAGAGCATACAGCGGTAAAACCAGCTGACCAAATCTGCTGGAGATACTTTGGTTGCTAGGTAACACAGCTGGGCTCCACTTGGGTTGCTAGGTAATGGCACAGTGCCCGTCGTACATGACTTATCAATCTGAGCCGTTTTTGAAATGGCTCATTTTCCAGACACCAAAAAACATTAACTCATTGCCAAAAATGGCTGGGTGTTTGTTTTTAACACCCAGCTTGGGTTGATTTGAGAAGCATTAGAGACTTAAAGTACAAAAAC